ATTTCTAAAATAGTATTTCTTTGATGCCTCTATCATGCATACAGAAATTTTGCTTTTAACTCAAGAACAAACTTCCAGAACAAGCTCAGTTACTACTGGCAACTTTAATTATTCAGACCAAACTAGCGAAGAACCAATCAGAGTTACACAAAGAAATGCGATACATCTAGCAAACCATGTTTGAACTTATTGGTTGGATTCATTTTTTTTAATTTGTAACCGGCAGTTTGTTAAGGTTTAGAGTGTTTTGTAAGTTTAATTAAGTTTGAATTTCTTTTCTTCAGTCTTTTCATATAAGACTACAATTGTTCCTTTATTTAATGATTTCAAACAAAGTTCAAAATTTCTTAATAAAACTTTTGCTAGTTTAAGCATTACTTGATTTGAATTTATTTCTAAAGTTTTTTCTTTTTCGCGCTTAATAAGAAAAGATTTTCAAAATTAAGTACAACCAAAGGTTTGGAAAAGAAGTTGTGCTCGTTTTCGCCATGGAATTGCTATACATACGTTTGGTTAAATTATTGTTTGAGCATTTCTTAGACGTGCTTATTTTTTGACATCTCACTTTTCATGAATAACAAGCTCGTTTGTAACTCAGAAAAAATATGTTAAAAATTTAGCATTTTTATGTAAGCTTAATAAGTTAGCTGCTTGATATGTGCATTTATTTTCAGGCAATGTAAAAATATGTTGAGCTTAAGTTAGTTGTATGGTTTTTGTTCTCAAAGGGAATTATGTTCAGACGTTTGGGGTCGTCATCTTTATGGAAACCAAAAAATCCACATTCTTTAGAATATTTAAAGTAAGTTTGTCAGTTTTCCCCTTGGGAATTTCATATTTATTTATCGTTAAATTATTATATCTGTGCGAAATGAATAACATCAGATATTTTATTCACTGTTTTTTAAATGTTTAATTTACTAGGTATTTGCATGGGGTGCTTGTAAAAAATGAGCAAGTCACAGAGAACAATCGTAAACTACTTGTGGAATGTTTGAGAGCCATTGCAGAAATCTTAATATGGGGTGATCAAAATGATGGCACCGTTTTTGAGTTAGTTATTTAATTTTCTCTGATTTTTCTGCTATTCATCAATATTCATTGCATTATTGAAGTAACTAACTGTCAAAATAATTTTTTAAATGTCTGATTTTTTTATTTATTCTGTGGTTATCAATTTTTAAACAAAGGCTTTACAATATTTTGCTATTTGTCTTGATCTGTTGTAACGTCATTTTTACAACTATCTTGCACCTGTTTTTATTATCTGTTAAAAGTTATATTTCAAAGTTTGTTTATTACAGCCTAAAACTGCTATTCACCAAATCAATTTTATTTCGATTTTGCTTTTTACGTACAAGAATAAAATATGATCAATTAAACTTTTCAGTTTCTTCTTAGAACGACAAATGCTGTCCTATTTTCTTTCTATCATGATGCAAAACTGTGGAACTTTCATATGCGTTCAATTATTACAGACGCTCAATATATTGTTCGAAAATATACGTCATAAGACATCTCTATGTGGGATTTTCATTTACGGCTTACTTGTATTTCATAGAAATCTTGTCCTTCTTTTTTATAGCATAACTGAAGTTGATTTATTTTTAGATTATTTGCTCAGCAATAATCATGTGAATTCAATAATCACTTATCGATTTAATTTTGAGAACGAGGAGATTATGGCTTATTACATATCTTTTCTAAAAACGCTTTCCTTCAAACTCAATGAATATACTATACATTTCTTTTTTAATGAAGTATGTTTATTGCTAATTTTTATTTCACACTGCACTGATTCTTCTTCATTACTTGGTTTTTTAGGCTAGTCAAGAATTTCCTCTTTATACAGAAGTTGTCAGATTCCAAAGTCATAGCGAAGCAATGGTACGCATTGCCGTACGAACTACTACATTAAATATATACAAAGGTTTTTACTTTGAAAAAGTATCGTTTTACCGAAATACTTTCCTATTTGGAACGGCTGAATTCATTTTTAATTTTAATTCAGTCTACTGATTAGCTTTATATTACGTTTTAAGTGAAAGACGAAGCAATGCGGGATTTTGTTCGTGCCCGTTCTCGTGCTTATTTTTGTGCATTGAATGATTTAATTGCTAAGCAGTCTATAGAGATTGACCACTTTGCTCGATCGGCTGAAAATGAATCTAGCAACAGAGGAAAGCTTGATTCTATGATTGATGATTACTTAGATTATATTCATTATCTTAGTGACATTTTATTCATTAAGGTATGTTTAGTTTTGGTGTATTTTAGCAGTAAAAGTTCTATGCGAATTCAATATAAATATCAAATCATTGTAATGAGATTTCAGAATGAATAATAGAAATGAATTTTGACTGATTTGCTTCAAGTTATGCCATTTCTTAGGATGAAAAACTATCTACACTCCTTATTGAAATTATTTTTGAAAGATTGTTGGGATCTCTTTACCTTTCATCTCTTGGAGGTGTTCGTTTGCATCCTTCCACTGCTACACTGGCACCTATCTCTGCTTTATTTTTTTTGACGCAGTTTTTGCTTATCATTGATGATTGGCAGGTATGCTTAATTTATTGCAAATACTAAGAAGAGACTAATTGTGCATTTAAGCAGTTTTATGTCAAATATTGTAATTATAACTTAAAATTTATTTTAATTGGTCTTCTGTAAGTTTACAGAATTGTTGTATGTTTTTGATTTAATTGTGGTTGTGCCCAATTTTCAATTATGTTAAAAATAAGCGATAATTTATAGGCAGTTCAAACTCTTCTGTCATTGTTTTTCTTTGGTGACAGTTCCGACTTGAGTTATCAGTGGGTGCGTAGTCAACCAGCAGAGTGGGTTCTTGTGAAAGTAAAGGCTATTAACGTTGAGCTTAGGTATGCATTTGTGGATTTAGAGATATTGAAGGCAATATTCTATGACTTGTTTATTTTTTCTGTAATAGTTTTTAGAGCGTTCTATGTTGGATTTATAAATGCACTGATTTGTTCCAAAAATGATCACTCAGCTTTTTTTGGACTTATTTTCATTTATGCCATTTGCCAAAACAAAGGTGGGAAAGTTCTTATTTGGAACTAATTTTTGGTCTCATTATCTTGTATGGAGTTATCTTTAATTTTATTTTAACGAATAAATGTAGTCCGAGACATATTTTTCTGTTTTTAGAAACTGTCGCATTTCAGTCAAGTTTAATACTGAAGACATATTTTAGGAGCAGGAAAAGAAATTTTAGAAGCTGTGAAGACCTCTTTTGATGTTGTTGACTATTCTGATTGCGGTCTTCTCGACAAATTACTCGATATCATATCCAAAAGTGCCGAAGAAGGTTATATTAATAATTTCAATTGTTAAACGATTATTTTCTATAAAAATTTTGCTAATTAAATAAAGTTTACAGATGCAATCATTCGCACTATAACTGTTGAATTATGTTCTATTGTTATCAGACAGCTAATATTAGCCTTGGATGCATCGATAGATGTTCAGGTGAAATGTGAAAGGAGGATAGAAAAAGTGATAAAAAAAGTCGTAGACATGCTCATACCGTTTGCTTATTCAGAAGAATTATTCATGGAGATGTTTGAAGATGAATTTTACAATTTGGAGGTGGGCCCTATAGTTTAAATTTATATTACGTGACACCATTTCATTTAAGTCATAAAGTTTTTAGAAGAATAAGATCAAAGTTAGAAGTATAAGTACTGATTCGTCGCTATTGCTTCCTTCTCCCACTACTCCAATGAGTGGAATACCACTGAATAGGCGTCTTCCATGTGGCAATGAAGAAAAAATCCGAAAAGTAAAAAGTTTGCATACTTTATAATGAGTAGAATTTCAGCAATAGATTAGGTTAAAAAGAGTACATCTGAGCATTTTTTTTATTTGAACATTTTGTGAGCAAAAATTAGTAGGACCCAGAAAGTCATAGAAATGTATAATTTTCTGTGCTAATACTAAAATATACATCATTATTTGTTATTTTAAGAACATTCAACTGTTTTATCATCTGAGACGTTTTGTGTTAGATTTGCGTGATGAAGAGGAAACACATTTTCCACTGACTTCGAAAACTGATGTCGTGGTTGAAGTAAATGATTGTATTAACTTAGGTTAGTGTAAAGTATAATTTTTGTTTTCGAAACTATAATGAAAAACAATAATTATTTGAGAACTTCATGCAAAAGGTCAAGTGATTTGGTTTTAAATTTATGTAATAGAAATAATTTTGATTTATGATAGGTAAACATCATTTTCAATCACATTTTTATTTTTAGAAAATAGCGATTTGCTTGCATGCTCAGTTGCTTTCTATGGAAAACCTGAGAAAGTTCATCGATTTCTTGTTACGGACCAAGCACAACTGATACTCGTAGAACCGGATAACAAACGCATGGGGTGGGCCGTTGTTCGTTTCGTTGGCCTTTTACAGGTAAATATTATTGTATTCTACAATATACCTTTTACAATTAAATATTATTGTGTTCTGCAATATCTGTGTTCATTTACTTCAGGATACACAATTGACAGGTGACCTCGATGACTGTCGAGCTCTTAATATTGTTGTTAATGATGTAAATAACCGTTCTAGAAAAGGTGGTGCAGTTTATTTTAGTGCAAAACTTATATTTGATGATCATATTCGATGTATGGCAGCCAAACAACGCCTCACAAAGGTCTGGACTATTATTTTTGGTAGTGATAGTGACTTTCATAATAATATGAATATTTCAAAATCATTTTTCACATCTTTTCATTTTAATGTTGTTTTAAAAGCTTCGTATATGAATGACATTTCAAAAATAACAGATGTGTAGAGAAAATAAAATTATTTTCAATTAAATGTACCAAATAAAATTCCAGGGTAGACAGAGAGCAAGACAATGTAAATTGGATCAGATTTGTGATTTACTCGGGATTGCGCGTAAGACTTTGTTTAAGGATAATAAAAATCCGTTTCGAATAGTTAAAGGCTGTTTACCTGGATCACTGCGCAAGCATCCACAAGTAAATAGCTCTTACAGTAGTACAAAGTCGTCAACTGGTTCTTTGAACAATGTTCCAGATGATCCTGAACACGCCAACAATTCCGCAACAAGTAGAAACTGGAAAGTAGAAGATGTTTAAATGAGATTGCAGATAGTGTTGTAGTACTGCACTTTGTAAACTTTCTTTTCTTTTGGTGTCGTGTTTCATTATTTTCTTTCACGGGTTTTTATTATGCGAGGTCGATCAAAAAATTTCCCGCCTATTTTGTTTTTATTACCGTTTTAGACATAAATGCAGTGGCGTATAAAAACTTCTTTGATGCACGTGTTATCAGTCTAATTATCTTCGTAGTTCTCAGTTTTGATATTTTATTATTTTATTTCATTTATTGATTGTACTGCGAACGGTGGTTGATTGTTCTCATAAAACATGTTCTTGTCAACATCAAATTATATTTTTTGGTATCAGTTTTTGATGGCAAATTTGGCGATTGTTGATGATCAATTTGGACGTTAACAGTTATTACGATGGTTACAAATTGATTAAAGAAAATGATATTGCAGATTGTGTGCTGTGTCTAATCATGTCACTCAACTGAAAGCTAACGAGTATTCAGTAATGCCTGATATGAGTTCAGACTCTGAAATCACTCAAAAAGTCACACAAACTGTTGATGCAAGTTGTTCGATACCGAAAGTGACAGGAGACAAGAAAACTAGAGAAAGAAGTATGAGGATAGCTCGTGGGCATCAAATTTTTAAGAACATTGAGTCAACACTTTGTGGTGCTGACAGAAGCAGAAAAGCACTAGATCAAGAAAAAGAGCTTGTCCGGTCGTATACAAGATTGCGAATAAAAAATCCATTATCACCTGTACAGTGTTGGTCGTCAGAACCTCATAGTTCTTCTATAGTAACGGTTGATGAACTCATGGATTTGTTCGACCTTGCTGTCAGCAATAAGTATTTGAAGTTTGACGAATTAAGTGAGTTGCTCAAGTTATTCTCAGATTTATACTATTCATTGGTACCGCCAATTTACTAAATAGACTTATGGGTCACGAAATTCTAAATTTTAACGAACTCAAGTTAATAATTTATTTCCTAATAAATTTTTTATCTCTAAATCTTATGTTTTTAAATGCTCTTGTTTCTGTGTCTTCAAGATTTTAAAAAATTATCATTTTAATAGTGCGAGATTTTGAAATTATCAAGCAATGGAAATTTATGTTTCAGAAACTGTTTTGAATGATGCAAATCTAACTTTGAGCGATGAAGACTGGAGCAAATTTGCTTGTCATGTTGCAAATACTGCAATTCAAGAAATCAGAGGATTCGCGATAGATGCAGCTATTTTGGCTGTCGGTAATTTACTGTTTTAATTATTGACTATTCATTACATCGCTAAAATATTGAGAAGAACTCAAAAATATGATAACCATTTTATCTTTTTAGTAAGCTGACTTTCATTCGATTTCAGTAAACTTATATCTGCTACACCATTAAGAATAAGTTTTTTATTCAAGATAAACTTTGTCGGAATGGAAAAGTTTCAGAAAAATAAAAAAGCTGTAGTTTTCTGTAGTAGAGTTCCTGAAATTGCTACGCTGTTTAATTTTTGATTACTTCAGGGCAAAAAGGTTTCCGATCAGCTTTTGCTCAAGAAGTGAATATTTTGATGTCGAATTACGTGTTTGAAGAAAAGGCAGAACAAGGAGTTCCAGAGCTTGTTGCTCAGCTTTTAATTGCAAATTGGCCCCGAGCACATGCACATTGTGATTTGGAATCGAATGATATTTTATTCTGTATAGTTTCATCAATTAAAGGATGGCTGTTGACAATAATTGGCGAGGTGCAGTGAAAAACAGTTTCTGCATTTTATTCTTTTATGTAAGTAAATTTATATGTTCATTAGATTCATATCATTGTAAATTTAAGACGGATGAAGTCGAAGAAGTTGAGTCAAGCTGTGCTTGTGCACTATATGAAGTGTGTCGATTCGCGCAACGTAAACTTTGGATGAAATGGCCTGAATTAGTGGATGAATGTTATGTTGCCGTAAAAAATGCTATAACCTTAAATATCACGTTAACCAAGTTAGTATGAATAAAAAATAAGACAAATCATCAGGTGTTACTTAGTTTCTCATTAAAATTTTGTTGGAATGAAAGTAAACATAATTAAAAGTGTGCCAGATCTTTCCTTTATCAATCGTACACTAAGCGTATCTTTTTGTAAGCTCTGATACGAGAATGTTTATAGCTGTAAATATTTATTTATTACTCACTGTTACTAATTTTCAGCATATGTGTTAAACAGTAAATGTTATTTGTAGAGAAGCACGGAAAGCTCTGCTGGATACTATGATTATGATGCACGAATGGACTAGTCGACACGCAAAAACACTGGTTAATGAAAGCACACAAACTTGTAGATCGTACTTGTAGTTATTATTCTCTACGTTGTGTCTTATTGCTATACCTCGATCAGATGTCTTTTTCAAAGGAAGTAATAAAAAGGCATGATTGGTTTGTATTGAAAATTTTCACACATGTGATTTACCTCATGATTATGTCATCTTTCCATGAAAACACATCACTAATATGCAATTGCGTTATGATTTATGTAATTATACTCTTTATTTGATTCACTGATGAAAATTCCACGGGATAGTGTATGATTCAGACTTTTTCTTCGTTTATTGTACAATAATGATAATCAGTGCTGTTAAAACGGTGAAAATGTCTTTATCAACCTTCTTTTATTATAGATCTTAGTGTGTTTTGTTGTTTCTGAATCATGTTATATTCGAATTATTTTAACTTGGTAGAAATATTAGTACTCCAAAATGCAATTTTACTATTGTCTGATTAAATTTTTATCATCTCTACCTCTTTCCTTTTTAATGCTTCACTTCTAATAATTGTCCCATTTTGTTAACTTAGCATGCCTTAATCTCGATGTCACTGACGCATCTAAGCATCCTTTCGACATTCTGGTTATACTTCATGTGGCAGTACGCACGCCTGTTTATTTGATAGTCCTTGACTGGTTTCTGGTTTTTCTGTCTTTTTTCTACCATGGATTGATTCCTCACGCCGTTCAGTCGTCTCTTTGTTATTGCCGTGTTCTACTACATATGCTGTATGACAATAGTGATGTGCTGAATGCAGCGAAGCATCTGTCTGTCTTGCTTAAATGTATTTGCTCATTTTGTAGACGAAAATTCCCTGAATAATACTCCTCAAAACATTGCGAATGAAAATGATTAAAGAATTATTTCTTGCAGTGCAGGGAGGAAAGCAGTGTACTGCCATGAATGAGTTTTTGTAAGTTGGCTGGTCGTACGTGTTTAATTGCAGTTGAATTCTAGTTTAGGGTAGTTTCTACACACTCACCCTCATACTACGTCAAAACAAACTAGGACAAACCATTCTGAATCAATAAGTCTGCCTGAAGTGACTGCAAAACAAGATTCTTTTTTCTGTTCTTTACGGAACAAATTTGTATACTGCATTTTTTTTCAGAAAAATGTTAAACAACACAACAGTAAATAGTATGAAAAATTTGTAAATAATTTGGAAATGACGTTGCTCAAGTAATGAAAGTTACGAAATAAAAAGTCCAGACAAAGGGATGTTACAGGCGTACAGATAGACAGACGGACAGATGAGCAGACGGAGAAATAAATAAGCGAGCAAAGAGGTCGGAAATGAATGAAGAGAAAAGAATGGGTGGGACGTCTAGACAGAGAGTGGGACATTTGTCAGCTCTCTCTCTGCTCTCTGCTGCTTGCTTGTTGTGTTTTGGTGTATATGTCGGTTGGATTCAGGCAAGTGGCACGATGGTACTCACTGAACTGGTACATTACTTGAGTCGACGTATACGCCACAGTAATTGTCAGTCTTCTAGTACTGTAACTGATGACTCACAGCTTTGCCTCTCTCATAATAGTAGCATGGATATGGATAATGATAATGATTATGATAACGATTGTAGTAAATGGTCTATGATACCTTCACTTCAAAGACAGCATATCGATGCACTGCTGGTAAGTTTTACAAAACTATAATTTATTATTATATAACAGACATGGGCTATTAAATAAATAAAGAATTACAATCATATTATCATATAGAGATTCATAGATTATTAAATAAAAAGTTAACGACTATATATTCATTATTACATAGAGATAGATACAGATTATATTATTAACTATGCATAGATCTCTGATGTATTTCAAATTTTTGTAGTAGTACTATTAATTCTATGCAATAATTGTCTTTCTGAATATATGATTAGTGCTTATTTATACAAATTCAGTGCAGTACTTTTACAGATGCTTTAGGTGATCAATAGAAATTTGGCTGTAATAATGAATGATAACAATGTACTAAGTATTTTTGAAGAATCAAGAAAATTGTATATGAATTAGTTGGGTTTATTTGTTTGCAGAATTGATTCAATTACTTTTTATGTAGGTCTTTTGTTAGAGTGTTATTAATGTAAATGCGTTGAGATATTGGCGTTGCATGACGAGCCTATCGATCTTTGCATAAGCTACGCCGTTCTTACTTACAAACATCATCATTCTTATCATCATCTACTAATAAACCAACTCACTACAATTTGTTCTTTTTGCACTGATTTGCTTTCTAGAAGGAAAAAAAGACTTAAGAAATGAGAAAACTGGTTAGGAGTCAAATTGGCACATTAGGGTTGTCAACTTTTTCTTAACTTCTTTAAATCTTTTACATATGGTATGGACTCATTTAATTTAATCTTTATTGCTTTATATCTACTATTACAGTATGATTTTATTTAATTGAGAGAACAAGTATTTCTCTTCCATCACAGGTTGGAGCTGAAATTTTGTTGTAGTTTTCTGTCTAATTTTTGTCCTTGCAAACCTTTTCTTCTATTAATACTCGAGTAAAGTTTTGTTTTTCAGAGGAGATTAAAAACTAAACTTGCTCGTGAACCAGAAGATCGTGCGAGTAGTGCAGATGATGAATGCTGCGTATGTGTGCAGCGACGGGCATCTGTTAGAGCATTCCCTTGCAGTCATAAAGTATTTTGTCGAAAATGTGCAGTACAATTAATTGAGGTGAGTTTGTGATGGTGTTCATTTTCATGAATTAAACGAAATTATTTTTCACCTACCACTTATCTCCAGTAATCATTGCAGTATATAAAAAATAATTTATTCGCAACTAGTTAAACCGTTATTTCTATCCAATGAAAACCATCATTAATAGATGACACAGAAAAGCTCATGTTACTACAAATTTTAGTCTTTTATTTCTTTTTTAATTTTAGCATGCAATAAATGAAAACAAACTTCGAATAAGATGCATAATCTGTCGACGAGACATCGCAAGGCTGCAGTATAGTCGTCCGTCTCGATTCATACAGGTTCAGAAAGAGCAAGATATCAGTGTAGATAGTAACAATACTACCACTTAACAATGCTGTGATGCAACTTGCAATTTCGAAGTTTGTCTTCTCTTCCAATATCCGTGCCAAATTTTTTTAAAGCCTGTTACTGCTTGATCATCTCAGTAACTTCTGCCGGTCTTTGGTACGTGTATTACTTTTTGTCTAATTTTGTTTTCCACTTATCTCATTCTAAAGCAGTTTTCTCAGCTTACTTTGTGAGCAAATGAAATTAAAGAAGTAGTAATAAAGTTTTTGAATTCTTTCACTACTGATCAAAATGTGTTGTGATGTAAGTCCCCTGCACCTGTCATACGAAGTCAATAAGTTTGTCAGTAATGATGATTATAATAATTCGACTTTCTTGTCAAAATTTCTAGATATTTAAGCAATTATATGAGAACGCATGTAGTTTATTTGTAGCATTTCTGTGAAAACAGATTGATTGAAGTGATTGAAAAAATCGAGGATAATTGATAGAAACAAAAGACTTACTAAAGTTAAAACTTTGAAATGCTGGTATTTTAATTTGTTTAGTTAATTATATCTTGTGTGTTAATATTGTTTTGTGCTTGTGCCAAAGTCTTTCGTCATCTTATATGTCATTATAATATGAA